ACACAGCTGCAGCCAGAAGCAACAGGACAGCTCACGCAAAGCCACGCTTCTAGGGAGAGGCAGGGCTACCTTCTACCCTGCGCCTCTGAAACAAGAAGAGGACAGAACACTCAGCAGTCTTAGGACTAAAAGTTGGGATTTTGTTGATCGCTGCCATTTAGTTTTTATACGAGCAAATATATATATTTTCCATCCTTGACAAAGTCTTCGACTAAGGCCTTAACTTCAGGGGCACCAAAAGAAAAAGACAATCTAAAAAAAAAAAAGAAGTAAAGAAAAAGAATTTCATATGAATCAAATCAAGAGCAAAACAGCCCCTGTAAGCAAATGAATTACCATTGTCATTGACCAAGTCATGCACAATTAGCATGTGCCTTGACATGCAAGGAAGGAGATGGAGTAAAAAAATATTCTAACAGGCTTTTTGTTTTGCCTTATTGCAGCTGTGTCATGATAGGTTTTTAAAAGCCTGCCTTCCCTTCTTTATTTGTGACCCGAACCTCAAAATCCAGCAAGGGCAGCATTTCAAACAGACACCGTTTCCTGAAAAGATGGAAAAAGACAAACACGAAAAACAGCCAAAGTTGAGCGCTAACACACTTTCAGAGGCCGTACGGCTAGTATGAAAAACACAGCAAGGGTCGCACTCTGAGGAGGGAAACAATCAATGTTAATCCATTACAAGCAGCGTCTCCCTTCTGTTGGATTGGATACGTAACGCTGGACTTTGCAAACCTAAGCCATTCTGTTTTAGCGATAAAGATTTTAGTGCTGCTCCCGACAAAATCGTTAAGTTTTTCCCCTCCCTCTGTTTGGCTAGAGCGAGCGCCGCCAGCGAGCACAGGTCACTTTGCAGACCAAGAGCCACGGAGCTCTGCCCCAGCTGCCGGTGTGAAGGGGGGAACGCACGAGCGGCGGGTGGAGCGCGCGGGGAAGCGCAACGGGGGCAGAGGGGAGCTGGTGGTGAGCGGTTTAACCAGAACGGGCTGTAAGCCACCCAGGGCTCCGAGCAAGCTGAACTGCCTCTGCCCAGGACTGAGGCGCGCTAACGTTGGGGGAAGAGCCTCGTTCACATCTGACAACTTTGTTATGAACGCTTGGCGTCCTGCGTCCCCAAAAAACTGCAGGGACTCAGACCCGTGGCAGCTTCTCCCTTCCAGATCTGAAGCC